GAAGTCCCTTCGATCAGAGGTTTTTAATTTATTTCAGGCCATTGAATCTTTTTTAAAAAAAAAAAAACACCTGGGAACCCTTGAGAGTAATAGGTATTTGGATGTCAGAGGACAAGCCCTGATCTTTCTAATATAGCTCAAAAAAAATTACTATAGATATGCCTAAAAAACAGCATTGAGGCTGACATACACGGCTGAGCTCATTAGAGTTTTCTTTCCCTAGGAACCAACTCTAAATGCAGTCAGTTGTTCATACTTTGGTGCTGTTTTTCACGGAGGTCCAGAGCAACTTTTCTATGCAACTATGAAGAAAAAAATCCCTCTACACAAGAGACTAATGGAGAAAATCATCTTCCCTACAAAGATCAAAGTTTACTTTAGGTCTTTGTGTGAAGCTTTTTCCTCAGTCCCACAGAACCCATTTAACTCTTCACGGAACCCTAGGATTCCACAGAATCCAACCTGCAAAACCTCACCTTAGGTAGGGAGATCTATGAACTGGTACAAAGAAGAGCAAGGGAGGCCAGTGATGGCATGCACGATAGTGTCATCCCACTAACACTGCAATTTGTGTTAGCTATTGGACATTAGTATGTAGTGGCATTTGCCTGGTACCAGTCAATCAATTTTTATTTATTTTGTTTGGTGATATCACGTACAGGTATTTCTCAATTTATGATCCTTTGTTCAGAGACTGTTTAAAGCTACAATGATGCTGAACAAAGGGACATATGTACTGTAAAGTTATGGTCACTGCAGTGTCCCCCTAATCATGTGATCAAAACGTGGATACTTGGCAGCCCACCTGCACTTATGATCATATAGGCTTTGTAGTTCCCATCTGCCTATCTTCCCCTTACCTGCTGCCCTTGTGGCTCACCCCCTCCAGCTGATCTTCACCATTTTCTTCCTGTTGCTGATGAGGCATGTCCAGTCAGGCTGCCGGGTTGGTGAATGAAAGTCAACACCAGCTAAAGAACTGACAGCTGTGGTTGTATGTTGTTGTGTATATAATAAATTTATAATACCTCCCAACTCCCATTAATGAAATTAATTTTAAATGACCTTTTCTTTCCTTCCTGGTGGTTTTCTGTTAAGCATTATTAAGCTTATATTCCTACCAGGTTGTGGTGGAATCTTGAGCAGAATTGAGAAGAGAATCTCATTTCAGCTGCTTCTACACCAGGGGTCTTCAAACTTGGCCCTTTTATGACTTGTGGACTTCAACTCCCAGAATTCCTCAGCCAGCGTGGCTGGCTGAGGAATTCTGAGAATTGAAGTCCACAAGTCATAAAAAGGCCAAGTCTGAAGACCCCTGTTCTACACCATCAATGATTCAAGGCTAACCAGCCTTTTCATTCTTCACCTCAACTCTGTTTAAGATTCCATCACAGATGTACAGAGAGTTCCTAGGACATTTTATGCTTCCACAGGATATTACACATCATTCCTTCTTTAAAATTTAATTTAAATTGGGAATCATTTATGTACTACAGGTAGTCCTCAATTTACACTTTATGCACTACAGGTAGTCCTCAATTTACAAGAGTTTCCTTGCTGGTATGTGGTATTATAGAAACTAATTATTCTACTGTATATTGTTTTATTACTTCCTTGGAATCCTTATTTGTATGAAGTTCCCAAATAATTCCCCCAAAATTGGGCAATACACTATAAAGAGATAGTGGAATAGAAGACAAAGAATTGGAGAAAATCACAAAGTATCAAGATCTGAAAATCAAAGTTAAAAAATTAACTGCAGCGATTCGCTTCACAATTGTGATAAAAAAGTCATAAAATCAGATGCAGTCACGTGATGCCTCATTTAACAATTGTACTGCTTAAATAACAATTTTTTTGGTCTCATTTGTGGTCCTAAATTGAGGACTAGTTATATAGCTTTACACATGGACTTGTACTACATCTGAACCTCAGGGTTTTTTTTTTTAAAAAAAAACATAAGACTTTAAGCTATTAGCTGTTGCTGATCTATGATAATACAGACAGGCTTTCTCAGATTAGATAGGAATCCTATTAAATGTTTATTCTGATTGGTAATTCTTAGCATTCTTATCATACTGTTTCCTTTTACTAACAATTGAGTGTGAGTTTAATAACAGTGTTAGAATGCTAAATTAATGTAAGTTCCTCTTTATGTGCACTATTAGTCTAATTTTACTTTCAAAATTCTTACTTAATTTTATATATTCTGTAAATCTCTTCCGGTTCTTTGTTCTTTTAATTTTTTTTTCTCATTTGTGTTACTAAATATTTATTAAAGTAAAATAATTTAAGTAGAAGAGGTTGGGATAACTGTTACCAAATATTAAAGTGCTAATTTGAGTACATTCAAACGTTTTGTGTTTTCATCAGAGCACATAAAATAATAGGTTCACTTGTAATCAGGAGATCTCAGTGAAGCTATCCGTGATATTAATGGGCGTGTTTACTTAGGCAAAGAAGCCAACTGGGTCAGCTGCTGCTTCTCAGCTCTAAGCTAGGAAGTGAAAAAAACACATTTACTGCCCATTGCTGGACCAACATCAATGGTGGGATTCAGATATGTGAACAACCGGTTCTCTGCGTGGATGCTGCTTCCGAAAGTCCATTCTGGGCCTGGGCAACAAAAAATTAGCTACCAGTTCTGCTGAAGTGGTGCGAACTGGATGAATCCCACCACTGACCAACATGGTAGATTATTGTACATAATCTTCATTGAAAAGACCACCCTGCAGCACATTGACTTGGAATGATAATGATAATACTATAGAAAATATGGGAGACTGGATCCTGTGTACTTCAAACCGACAGTGTAGTTGAGTCCAACAGAAAATGCAAAGTAATCCTATGCATACTTACTGAAGAGGAAATTTCACTACAAGGAGTTCTTGTCTTATGACCACAAGCAAGACCAAAATTTCCATTGCTAAGCAAGACAGTTGTTAAGTGAATTTTGCCTCATTTTACAACCTTGTCACAGTTGGGTGAATCACTGCAGTTGTTAAGATAGTGACATGGTTATTAAGTGAATCTGGCTTTCCCATTGACTTTGCTTGCAAAAGGTGATCACATGACCTTGGGACACTGCAACCATCATAAATATATGCCAGTTCCAAGTATCTGAATTTTGATCAGATGACCTTGGGGATGCTGCAATTGTCATAAGTGTGAAAAATAGTCACAAGTCATTTTTTCAGTGCTGTTGTAACTTCAGACAATCATGAAATGAATAATTGTAAATTGAGGACTTGTATCATGAATGAATCTTAGGATATAGTCACCATATTCTCTTAACTTTAGGTTGACCTTGCCTCACTAATTGCTTTTTAAGGAAGTGTCTCCTCTTATCTCTGGCCTCTAACTTGGGGTTTCTCATTCTTTTGGAGATATATTTTCCATCTTCTCTCTATACAAATCTTGCTGAATATATGATTTGGCTGAGTTGGCCAAGCAACCGCTATGATGAAGTGGCAAGAACTGGAATGTATCCAGCAACTTTTGGCTGCTGTATGCACGTTACCATTCCAGTCACTGTTGATTTTCTTCCATGGCTGTTTCGATTTGTGCTATTGAACTAACACAGGGGTCTTCAAACTTGGCCCTTTTATGACTTGTGGACTTCAACTCCCAGAATTGAAGTTTGAAGACCCCTGAACTAACTAACATGACCACAGAAAAAAAGCAGCAGCAGCAGCAGCAACAGTTGTAACTAAAGAAAATAAGATCAGGCTTCTTTTAAACAACCTGCACATAGGTCTCAGACCCATGGGATTAGTTGTTTTTTGAAAGTTTGTATTCTACAGTGCAGCTTCCTCTGAGGCTGCTTTAATAATCTGCTTGCAGTTTGCCTCTCCAGATATGTAAGTCAACAATTTATTTATTTATTTATTTATTTATTTATTTATTTATTTATGAGACTTATATACCGCTTTAAGTGCAAGCACTCTCTAAGCGGTGTACACCAGTAAGCAATGTATATATATATTTACATTGCCCCCAACAATGCTTCTAGAGGGATCTTGGTTTATCTGCAATCACTAAAGCAGCACTAAGATTACTTGAAAACGTGTAGACTCTGTAAAGTAACCTGTCAATTGGGGCGTTTTTTTCTTGCAATGATCAGACAGCTGGGTGCCACCAAAGTCACAAGAGCAGCAGCTATATTTAATGGTTTTGATAGGTGGATAAATCCACTGCTAGAACCATTTGTAAAATTCACTTCCTCCCAAGGCCCAGCTCATATCTTGAGAAGTGACTGAAATCCACCAATTCCTGCACCTTAATATATCCTGCAGTGAACTGTTATGACATTACTGTACCATTTGCTGTCCGCCTTACTAGACAGAATATAGGCAAAAATAGGAACTAATTTTGGTAGCCTGCTTTTGTAGACTCCCCCGGAAAGACATATGCTTTATACATGGCTGCAGTCCTGAGGTTGGGGCAAAAAAATGGAATTCATCAGGCTCATGAACGTTCATCATTTAAGGACTCCAGGTAAGTGGCTGGTTGAAAGGCCTGGTGGAAAAAATACTATAGCCCCAGGTGATGTCAACATTCTGCCAGTTTTCTGATCTATGCGAGGTGGATTGATCGGGTAACGAGCACACAGGTATGATCTAGCCTTGTTCCAAGACACTAACATTGGTGCTTCCCCACTTGGCAAACGGAGCTTATTCTCGGTTGCCATCAGTTTAACCAGTCTCGATCTTAACCCCTCGCCTCCCCAGAAGCGTTTGCTACAGGCGTGTGGGCGGCACCTCTCCTTCCGTTCACTTTCAGTCTCCGGGGGGGGGGGGAGAGGTTGGTCACAGGTTTCCTCCTCCTGACACTCTTCCAGAGCCACACTTCCTCCGGCACTTTGCTTTGAACGCCGCTCCTTCTCTCCTCCAGAGGTAAGTCTATGAAGGTGAGCTGGAGTCGGCATCCACAGTCACGCGGCCGACGCGCGGGCGGCTGGGAGGGAGGGAGGGAGGGAGGACGGCAGGGGAGCCGCAGAGCAAAGTCCGCTTCGTGGAGCTCTTGTTGGCGAGCCGGGGGTCTGAGCGAGGCTCTTTGTCAGGCGCATGGAAGGCGAGGTTGGCGGCAGCCGGCACTTCCGCGCCGGCGCCATGTGATCCTCCACGCGGATGGAAAGGGCAAGGCAGGAGAATCCACCTTGGAGGGAAGTCCTCGAGGGTCCCCTTTGGCAGGCGCTGGCGATTGCTGGTGGGCGAGGGGTTTGTCCCAGGCGGGCGCAAGAACCGGTAGCAACCGGCGGCGCGGCCGATATTCTGCTTTGCGCAATTGCCAGCGGGAGGGCTCCAGCCCTAAACGTGCATGGCTTGCAGCTGGGATGCGAGCCCTACAGAGGCGTGGGGACTTGCTTCCGGAGAAGTAGGCTTGCTTGGGGATGGGGTTATTATCCCATTGCTTGCCCGGCGGCTGTACCTGCGCCCTTTCGCTTTCTTAGCCCCGCCAGGCGTCTTTAGGCAAACAGTTCGCGTTCCCCCGTCCTTCCTCCTCTGCAAGTCGCATTTCCCACCCGCTGCTGGTTTCCTTTGCCTGCCTTCTCCGCCAGCTTCTCCCACTTTCTGGATGTAGGGAACTCGAGGGGCGCAGAGGAACAGGTGAAAGCGGTTTTGTCAATCTCGAGGAAGGGAACCAAAGCGAGAAAGATGCAGAGAAGACTTTCAACTTGTTGAAAGCTTTCATTAGCTGAATACAGAAGCTCCCTGACCATATTAGAGAGCCATGCAGCCGTTAAAGCATCAGGCTTGAAGACTATGAGTTTTAGTCATGCCTTGGGCATGAAGCCAACTGGGTGCCCTTGGGCCAGTCACTCACTCTCAGCCCTAGGAAGCAGGCAATGGCAAAAAATATGAAATCTTGGGTAACCGAGAAAATTGCTGGACTTGTCAGGCAGTCACTCATACATAAACCACATATGACCAAATTAGGGTGTGCATTGCACCAGGAAGGAAATTACTCAACGTGTTGTTCCTATTCTAGTTGCAGGGAAAAAAAAAGAATTGAGAAACGAATATACTCTTAAGGCACGAAGCCAATGAAAAGTCCCAGGTTCCTTTCTCTCCTAAAATAAATGTAAGGCACTTGCATACCATTGCTTGCCATTTTTATTCATTTGTGAGAAGGAAGCATCTTAAGTCAGGATTCAGTTACGCTAGCTCTATGACTTTTTGAAATGGTAAACAAAAAACATTCCCTTAACATTTGAAATAATATGCACACTTAAGTAATTATCGCCTGCCTCATCTCTGCTCTTTGAAGTGAAAGGAAACATGTTTGTTCACTGTGCTAGTAACATTACATACTTTGTGTTGAACTATAGGAGTTTGCCTGCCTAGGTTGCAGTTGTACAAGTTTCTTAGGTGTAAGTCTCATCAAACTTAATGAACAATGATGAAAACTGTCTTGAATGCATTTGGGTCAATATAAAAGGGGAAAAAATGACATTATTATAGGTGTATACTACAGGCCACCCAACCAAACAGAGAATATAGATGAACTTTTTGCTAGTCAGCTAACTAAGGTATGTAGGAAGCATATCACAATAGTAATGGGGGACTTTAACTACCCTGACATCAACTGGGAGACAAACTCTGCACCAAGTGGAAGATCAGACAGATTCCTTGCAAACCTAGCACACAATTTTGTGTCCCAAAAAGTAGAGAAGGGAACTAGGGGATTAGCCATTTTGGATCTAATTCTCACTAACAGAGATGAAATGATAGAAGGTGTTGAAGCCACAGCAACCTTGGGAGGAAGTGATCATGCAATATTGGAATTCAACATTATGAAGCCCAAGCAATAGAACACAGTCAAACTAGAGTCTTGGACTTAAAGAGAGCTAATTTCAATAAACTTAGAGAGGGCTTGGGAAGGATTCCATGGATGAGAATCCTCAAGGGGAAAATAACTCAAGAAGCTTGGGAAATTTTGAAAAGTGAGATAATAAAAGCCCAGTCCAGCACAATACCAAGAAAGAGGAAAAATAACAGCTCTCAAAAGAACAACATGGCTGCCTAAAGAACTCTCTGATAAATTGAAAGATAAAAAGGACAAGTATAGAAAGTGGAAAGAGGGGCACATAACTAAGTCAGAATATCAACAAATAGCCCAAGCCTGCAAAGATGAAATGAGGAAATCTAAGGCTCACAATGAACTAAGGCTTGTGACCAAAGTAAAAAATAACAAAAAAAGCTTCTTTCAACATGTAAAAAACAAGGAAAAAGTGAAGGAAATTATTGGTCCATTAGTGGGGGAAAGTGGCAAGAAGGTGACAAGCAATAGGGAGAAAGCAGAACTATTTAACTCGTTTTTTGCATCTGTCTTTACACAAAGGGAAAAAACAGACCAACTTACCAAAAATAGTGCCATAAAAAACAATAGAAACGCAAGATAGGCAAGAAAATGGTAAGTGAGCACCTGTCCAGCCTAGACGAGTTCAAATCACCAGGACCAGATGGATTACATCTCAGGGTTCTCAAGGAACTGGCAGATATGATCTCAGAACCATTGATCTATATTTTTCAAAGATCCTGGAGCACTGGGGAACTACCGGAGAACTGGAAAAGAGCTGATGTAGTTCCCATCTTCAAAAAAGGAAAAAAAAAATGGACCCAGGAAATTACAGACCTAACAGCCTTACCTCGATATCTGGGAAGATTCTGGAAAAGATAATCAAACAACGAATCAGCGAGCACCTAGAGGCAAATAATGTCATTACTAAAAGCCAACATGGGTTTGTCAAAAACAGATCATGACAGACAAATCTTATTGCATTTTTTGACCAAGTGACAAAATTAGTGGATCAGAGGAATGCTGTGGATATAATTTACTTGGACTTCAGTAAGGCATTTGATAAAGTAGATCACAACCTACTACTTGATAAGATAGAAAAATGTGGGTTAGACAGCATCACCACCAGATGGATCTGTAGCTGGCTGACCGGCCGTACTCAGTGTGTAGTCCTCAATGGAACTGCATCTACATGGAGGGAAGTGTGTAGTGGGGTGCCCCAGGTCTCTGTTCTGGGCCCAGTGCTCTTCAACATCTTCATCAACGATTTGGACAAGAGGATAGATGGGGAAATCATCAAATTTGCAGACGACACCAAGCTGACAGGAATAGCCAACTCTTCAGAAGACAGCTTAGGATACAGGAGGATCTGGACAGACTTGAACACTGGGCGCTATCTAACAAAATGCAATTCAGTGGTAAAAAAAGTAAGGTTCTACATTTAGGCAAGAAAAACCAAATGTACAGGTATAGTATAGGGGGGTACCTTGCTCCATAGTAATAACTGTGGGAGGGACCTCGGAGTCCTAGTGGACAATCACTTAAATATGAGCCAGCAGTGTGCTGCAGCTACCAAAAAGGCCAACACAGTGCTGGGCTGCATGAAGAGAGGGATAGAATCAAGATCACGTGAAGTATTAATACCACTTTACAATGCCTTGGTAAGGCCACACTTAGAATACTGCATCCAGTTTTGGTCACCACGATGTAAAAAAGATGTTGAGACTCTAGAAAGAGTACAGAGAAGAGCAACAAAGATGATTAGGGGACTGGAGGTTAAAGCATATAAGGAAAGGCTGCTGGAATTGGGTATCTCTAGTTCACAGGTCGGCAACCTGCGGCTCTGGAGCCGCATGCGGCTCTTTGAGTCTTCCCTTGTGGCTCCCAGCCTCCTCTGCCTCTGCAGAGAGAGACAGAGACAGAGAGAGGCAATTGCGCTTCCCTGCCCCCCCTCTCTCTCTGTGTGTTTGTGTGCGTGTATGTGTAAAAGAGAGTGCACTCACAGTGTTCTCTGAGCAGCTGAAAAGCTTACTGGGCGGAGCTCCTCCCTTTGCTGCGTCTCTGCAGGAAGCAGGAAGCAGGAAAGGTAGGAGAGAGCTAGCTAGCCCAGCTAGGCTGACTCAGGAATTCTGGGAGTTGAAGTCCATGAGTCATAAAAGAGATGAGGTTGCTTACTCCTGAGCTTGTGGACAACAGCTTGAAGCTTGCCAGGTGAGCAACAGATAGGAGAGGGGGGAGAAAAAGAGAGAGAGAGAAAGAGAGAGAGGGAAGGAGAGAGAGAGAGAGAGAGAGAGAGGAAAGAGAGAGAAAGAAAGAGAGTGGGGGAAGAGGAGTGGCAGACCAAGGGCAGATAGAGAGGGAGGGAGAGAGAGATACCCTTTTGACATCTAAAATGAAGATAACACTGCATATATCCTTTTTTTACCTGTGTGTGTGTGTGTATGTATGTATGTGTATACACACACACACACACACACATATATATACACACACACACATACATACACACACACACCTATAATAAAGGTAAAAAAGGATATATGCAGTGTTATCTTCATTTTAGATATCAAAAGGGTTTTGCCGCTCCCAGTGTTTTGTTTTTGGTGGGAAACGGGTCCAAGTGGCTCTTTGAGTGTTTTGGGTTGCATACCCCTGGTCTAGTTTAATGAAGAGAAGGACGAGGGAGGACAAGATAGCAGTATTCCAATATCTCAAGGGCTGCCACGAAGAAGAGGGAGTCAAGCTATTTTCCAAGGTGCCTGAAGGCAGGACAAGAAGCAACGGATGAGAACTAATCAAAGAGAGAAGCAACCTAGAACTAAGGAGAAACTTCCTGACAGTTAGAATAATTAACCAGTGGAACAACCTGCCTCCAGAAGCGATGAATGCTCCAACACTGGAAGTTTTTAAGAAGAGACTGGACAGCCATTTGTCTGAAATGGTATAGGGTTTCCTGCCTGAGAAGGGGGTTGGACTAGATGACCTCCAAGGTCCCTTCCAACTTCTTCTTCTTCTTCTTCTTCTTCTTCTTCTTCTTCTTCTTCTTCTTCTTCTTCTTCTTCTTCTTCTTCTTCTTCTTCTTCTTCTTCTTCTTCTTCTTCTTCTCCTTCTCCTTCTCCTTTCATTAGACATGCATATAAAATTTCAATGTTGGGACCTCATTTATTTATTTATTTTAAAAAGACAGCTTCTTATAGTGAAAAGACTTGTAGGAGAGAAGTGTTAAGATTGACAGCCAAAAATCAGGAGTCTGGTTACACCTTTTCTGATTAACTGAATATTGACATTTTCTGAAGATAATTGCTGCAATACGAAGCAGGGGCAGTTCTCCTATGTGGGTGGATCCCTGCACAGATTTTGAGTAGTCTTGTCAGGAAACTGCCATTGGTTAGCAAAATAATAATATATATATATATTCCCTATTTGCTTGAACTAGTTTATATAAATGGAAGGCTGCTCTTGCAATGCCTTTTGATGTAGAAGATTTTGAAGAGGTGGTACTTCGGCAAGTCTGGATCAGGGGTCTTCAAACTTGGCCCTTTTATGACTTGTGGACTTCAACTCCCAGAATTCATCAGCCAGGCACGCTGGCTGAGGAATTCTGGGAGTTGAAGTCCACAAATCATAAAAGGGCCAAGTTTGAAGACCCCTGGTCTGGTTGCTATGGTAGATACCAATTTGTTGATGATACTATACCTATTAATAGGCTAGCAAAACTCTTAATCTGTACTGGCACTCTTGACTTATAGCGACCATTTGAAGTTACAACAGCAGTGAAAAAAGTAAGTTACAACTTGTACTTACGAACTTCTAGCATTCCCATTGTAACAGGATCAAAATTAGCGTGCTTGGCCACTGGCATTATTTACAATGGTTGTAGCATCCCAGGGTCACGTGTTTGCTGCTTACAACCTTTCCAGCTGGCTTCTGATAAGCATTTGCTGCTTACAACCTTCCCAACTGGCTTCCGATAAGCATTTGCTGCTTGCAATCTTCCCAGCTGGCTTCTGCTAAGCATCATCAATGGGGAAAGCCAGATTTGCTTATTAACTTGCATTCTTCACTTACAACTGCAGTGATTTGCTTAACAATCCCGGCAAAAAGGTCATAAAAACAGGCATGACTCATTTAACAAGCACTTAGCAACTGAAATTCTGGTGCCAATTGTAGTTGTAAATCGAGGACTACTATAGAGGTCTGTTGAAGAAAGCTAGTTAAAAGGGTGGCAGCTTTTCAAGTTGTTTGTGTTCTTATCTGGTTATGTTGAAATTATGTTGAAATTCTGCATTTGCACTAGTAATATAGTGTATTATATGAAAGTAAGTTTTTCCCAAATGAATTATATTTTAAAGTAGAAACATAATCTTAGATTTGCTCTGCAAATAGCAAAAGGGGCAGGCAAGATTTTGAGGGGGGGGGGTTCAAATCTCCATTTAAGGGGAGGAAAGGGAAGAATTACCTTAAATGCAAGATCATGTGCTCTTCAGAGAAATATAATACTTGAAATAATTGTTATGCTCTTTAGGTACAGAACAGCCCCTTTTGCTACATTTCCTAATATCATCATTCATCATTTTAACCATTGTCTATCCACTGCAGGATAGAAGGCCTCTTCAGTATATTTCCAAACAATATGGTCCTGAGCTTTCTTTTGCCAATTGGGCCTGCAATGCTTGCTGAGGTCGTCAACCCAACTTGTTTTAGGTCTCTTTCATGGACGTTTTTTTTAATCAAGTGGGATCTATTCTATAACTGCCTTGGTTCGCCTCCCATCAGTTTTTCTTGCTGTGTGACCTGCCCATTTCCATTTCAATTCTTTTACAAGAGAATAAAAGTAAAAGAATTTCCTAACATAAAGGCATTTTAAATACTAGGATATTTAACACAAGTAAATGCTTTATATATACAGGTACCCCATGCATTTTGAGATTTTCCTTTGCAAAATACGCAGCATTTTATCTGACTTCCAAATACGTAAGTCACTGAATAAGGAAGATAACTGTCTCTTTGAGAATGTGAACTGATAAAAAGCCCCCCCTCCCCCACATGCATTCATTGTGTCCCTAACTGCACATGAATCTTCTTTTAAAGTCTCAATACATGTTTTGAATATGAAAGAAAGCGAAAAAGAACAAATTTATAAGGCAATAATATATTTGTAGGTTACAATGAATGTTGAACATGAAATCAACCTGTTAGTTGAAGAAATTCGACGGCTGGGGACCAAAAGTAAGTATGACTAAATGGCTGTAGAAGGAATGCAAAATTAATAGACTAATAAATGTGTTAGACTATAACTGACATAATTTCCAATGTATATTAGTCTAATGTTTCTGGAAGGCACTATACTGGAGAAAATCTCCAATGCAGGAGAACCTATAGAGAAAGCCCCATTTGAAAAGTAGGGTATAAAACTCAAGATACAAGATTTTGCTCTTAAAACATGGAATAGATTGGATGGAACTCAATAAAGAGTTCTGGCAACAGTTCAAATATTAAAGGAAGTGGTTAAGGCTTTTGCCTCAAGCCAATCTGATAAAAGTTTAGTTACAGAATGTAAATTATTGTCTATGTGCCAGCAAGTTGGTCTTTCAATGGTGCACTTATCACCACTTTGATTAAGCTATCCTCTATCTTTATTTCTACCTTTCCCAATATTATAGACTTCTCCAGAGAATTTTGTTTCCACATAATGTATCCAAAGTGAGATAATTTGAAACCTGTGAGAACTCTGAATTGATTGGTTTGATGATCAATTTGTTTGCTCTTAGCTATCCAAGTCCAGAGAACTTTTTCCAACACCAATAGGATATAAGTATTGATACTAAAGAGAGAATAAGAACAGCATGGGAGCCCCAGACTATTTAAGCCTGGATTTTTTTTTCATAATTTTCCCGCTTTTAAAATAAAACTGGATTCTTATGTGCATGTTGGTTTCAATTCAAATTGCTAGTGTTAAGTTTAGGTTTTAACCAATAGTCTATTGCCTATTTGTAGGTTTGTAGCAGTTTGTAAATTCTGGAAAGGGCATTTAAATGCAATCTTATTTTTTCCCCACTGACTTTAATTTCAGGAGATAGGTTAAAAAAAATAAGTGTTTTTTCTTGCTTTTAGCTTAGTGTATTATACAAATTGTGATTTGTAAAATATTTTTATAACTTATATGTAGGAAAACCCATCTAGTTGTGATTTATTCAACAAACCATGGCTAACACATATGAAGCCAGATTATTAATCGTGACTACCTTGAGTTACTTTGGGCCTAAATGATACCAGATTTTCATGAGTATTATTCAGTATATAGTCACAAAGCAGTTTTCAGTGATTAATAATGTAAAAATGGAAGATTAACTTTTTTAAAAAAGAAGTGTTAAAATGTATTTTTTCTAACCTTAAGTTAAAGATTTTTCTTGATACCTTCTTGAGTAGCGTCAGCAAATCTAAAATAATGTTGTAGAGATTGCTCATTTGATATAGTTTGCTATTTGATCTAATGCAGTGGTTCTCAACCTTTCTAATGCTGTGACCCCATAATACAGTTCCCCATGTTGTGGTGACCCCCAAGTGGGTGTGGCCACCAATAAGAGGAAGTAGGTCAGCTAGGGAAAAGGGAAAAAAATGGCGGACAATGTGGTTTGGCGACCCCCGTGAAATGGTCGCTCGACCCCAAATGGGGTCCCGACCCACAGGTTGAGAACCACTGATCTAATGGATTTGGATTTAGTAATAATTTTTACTGATTTGTGCCTCCAAGTGTATGTTCTGTTTAAAAGTTAACATATTGGTTGTATTTTCACATTTACATTGTGATGAATTTGGGTACAGGTACAATAATCTTGTTAAATGAAATCAGAAAGCTTAAAAATCCCCAGGTCCAAAGACTTATTGGAACTAAAGTGTTAATATGCCGTTTCATCCTCATGTTTCCTTTTGTCCAGATCCTGATGGGACATTGAGTGTGAAGTTTGGAGTGCTGTTTGAGGATGAGAAATGTGCCAACCTTTTTGAGGCTTTAGTGGGAACCCTGAAAGCTGCAAAACGACGGAAGATAGTTAATTATCCTGGAGAGCTGCTTTTGCAAGGAGTTCATGACAATGTTGATATCTTGTTATTGCAGGATTAGTTACTTTCCAGCAAATGGCATTTTTTAGGTATCTATATGTAACTCAGATCAAAATGCATTTGATTGAAAGTATATCTTCCTATTTATCTTTATAAAATTATATATAAAAATCCCTTGAAGGCCTATTAAGAAATTCTTTTCTGAAACCCTTGCTACATCACAGTTTGTTGGACCTTTTGGGCTGGGGGGGGGGAATTTGGGAATGACATTCTCAAATGTATGAAATGTTGTTAAACTTTGAGAATTCCTTACAAATTAGCAATATTAATAACCTAAGCCCTGCTTCAAACTTCCAAAGATGGGTTTATGGGGGATTCTGCAAGAATCAAAGTTACTATGGCCAAATAAAGTATTCAAGCTAGTAGTTCCAGCTGAAACTGAATATTTAATACGGTCTTTTTATGCAATGCTTGAAACATAGGTTTCTCATGTGACACTTTCTGAACTGTGATACTTCAGAGGAACTGTAGAAAATTATGACAGCAATGGCAGGCAGAGGAATTCTCTTGCATTTTTTTTATGTATTCTCATTAATGAATAAGCATGTTACGGAAATCATTTCAAAGGAGAAAATAATTTAAGAGAAATTTGTCACTGATGTGTTATTTTTGCACTTAGTTAGTTACAAAGTGACCAAGACAAAGTGTTTTGTCTTTTATTATTACAATCATCTCCAGCAATTGGCAAATCAGGCATAAATTAAATTCTGAGGAAATATTCCAAAGGCTATTTGGATATTTTCTTTGGCAGTGCTTCATTGCTAAATGGGAGTCTTGCTGTTGAGAAATTGTCCATCCAGTTTCGCCTCCCACAAACTTGAGAATCTCAAAAGACCATTTTGTCTAACTCACAGAATATTCCTTTTCTTAGGGTGAAGCCAGAAAGAGAAGTGGGAGGACACTCCTTCTATTCCTCAGATTCCAGTTTCTCTATAAGGCTCCTTACTTGATGATGGTGCCCTTCTGGGGAATAGAAATACCTTAGATCAGGGGTAGGCAACCTTGGCTTTTATGATTCTTGGGCTTCAACTCCCAGAATTCCTGAGCCAGAATTCTGGGAGTTGAAGTCCATGAGTCATAAAAGAGCCAAGGTTGCCTACCCCTGCCTTAGACAAACAATAGATTACTTCAGGTAGCATTAAGTATTGTCCAAACTGTTGTTCAGGCAAGTTCAGTCCTTTTCTATTTGGTCTGTTTGAGAAAGAAGTGGAATAGGTTGTGGGAAATGCTCTCTGAACCCTCCCTGGCACGGAGTGAATACTTGAAAGATAGAACATGACATGAGAAGACTAGGAAGACTGCTTCATAGAGGACATGCACATGTGAAATGGATAGAATTGGACAAGACCCTCTTACAGAAGTCCATTCTTTCAGTTCTTTTTACAAGATGACTGAAGTGCATTTCTTATTACTATAGTTCATCTAGGAAACTAGCAAATCGTCAATGCTTTCTCTCCTCCCCTCCTCCCCAAATACTTGAGGATTGAAGACTGTCTAAATGGCACAACAGTGTCACAATACATTTTGTCTTTTGCTTCTTATCTTCTTATTCTATGCATTTTGCATGATCCTTTTGTGTCTAATGGATTCAGTGGCTAGCAAAAGGGCTTCAAAGTAAAATACTTTATTCATCAATAAATAGAAATCTAGGAGTTATTTTTAGCTATTTAATTCTGTGAGAAAAATGCCTTTAATTAAATAAATATTTCATGTACACCAAGAAAATTTGGTCTCAAAAATACATATTTTTGGTATTTACAATAAAATATTTCCAATTCTCGCCAGTGTGGTTTGTTTCTTCAGGTTTGGAGTAGTTCACCTGAGCACTGGAATTCTTATTTTGTAAGAATCCTCTTTGCCAATTCTGTGCACACTTGTACTGACTTCTTCAAGACTGATGCATTCAAGGAAAAGAAAATATAGTTTGTTATGGTGATAATGGAGAATAGGAAAGCGTCAAATGGTACTCAATCTGAAAAGTTGCTTTGATGCTTCTGAAGGAATTTAATACAATATTTTCCTCTCTGGAATGTTTTACATATTTGTTTAAATAATGCATTCTGTGTTAGGAGTGATCTTATTAAAGTTATGATTCAAGATTAAAGACATGAAAGAGAAGCATTTAAGCTTTCAATATGCCTTAAAATAGCTGGAAAATGTTCCAGCCTGAGCAGGGAGTTGGACTAGATGACCTCCAAGGTCCCTTCCAACATTATTCTTATTATTATTATTATTATTATTATTATTATTATTATTATTATTATTATTATGGCAGATAAACAAGGACACAATGCATCAGTGCATCAAGGTATTAGTGTCTGATTTCAAAACAAGATAGTTTCCTATGGAAAGTCTTCATGTCTTTGAATTAACTGACAGCTGGCTGACTAAAATGCTAGAGGTTTCACTCACATTTTTTGATTAAAGTTTATGGTCAAAGGATACACTTCTACAATTTTAAGATCCTAATCATTTCTCACTTTTCAAAATAATTGTACAGCATATGCATTTTCTTATGATTTATGGTTATTGCAATTTTACTTTAGGAAATAGGGAAAAACCTAAAAGAACAAAGTTCCAGCAGTTTAATTATGAATTAATATGATACATAAATTGAACCATAGTATTGCCAAATATTTGCTTGAAAAGTTTATATTGTAAAAGCTCAAATGTTGGTTTGGTATAGGGAAGATCCAGATTCCACCCTCAGTCAAAGAAGCTTACTAGGATACATATGATTTTCTCTCAGCCCAATACACTACATAGAACAGTCATTTTGTGTAAAAATGAGAGTATTATGTACACTCCCTTGAGGGTCTGAAGAAAATGTTGGATATAATTCTAATAAACTGACTGCTATTGAGACTTGAGAACCAAATAACAATGTAACAAACAGCAGCAAAGATTCTGATTAAATTATAAGGTGGTGTGGTCAAAGTTACCTAACTTTTTAATAAATCTGGATGAGTTCACAGCCCAATTTTTATCAGTTACAGCTTATCAAATTAAGCAAAACTGTCTGGCTTTACAAGTTAAACCAAAATGAAAACTAATCAGAGTTTAGTGCGATGTGGAAATCCATTCTCATCTAATTGACTATGGAGATTCTCAAGTCCTCCAGGTCATAGTTGTACTTTTTCAAGAGGCAACTGTAATTTCTTGTTTTTCTTTGAAGATATTTTGCTTCGCAGGAATATCTGAAAAGCTCAGGAGGATCTTCAGCCAACACAACATATGTGCACACTTTAAACCCAAGAATACACTAAGGCAGAAGCTTGTCTACCACAAGGATAAAACAGCAACACAAACTGAGCAACGTGGTATATGCAGTGCAGCACAGTGAGATTTGTGCAGATCTGTACATGGGGGAAACAAAACAACCATAGGCACAACATAGGAGAACAAACCCATCAGGACAAGTTTCAGCAGTCCATCTGCATTTAAATGACAAATGCCACTCTTTCAAAGACAGCAAAGTCCACAATTTGGACTCAGAGGACCCTTGGTTTGAAAGAGGGGTTAAAGAGGCCATCTATGTCAAAATTGAATAGGCCTGTCTCCACAGAGGGGGAGGGATAGGACACCATCTATCTCCAGTCTACATCACAGTCCTTTCAGCAGTTTTAAGAAGGCTCCACACTCATTTGCACTGAGGACACAGTTAAACCTCCAGATGGCCTCAACAGCTCTCTAAAAGAATGCAAATGACCAGCTGTCTACAAGGAATATAAATCCTTCCTTTCCCCACCATCCAGTCAGAGCTAAGGAGCTTCTTAGATGAGAAATGAAACATCTTCAAAGGAAACAAGGAAATCCAGTTGCCTCTTGAAAATGTACCTTTGGGACATTCTCATCTAGTGCTATGAAAATTATTTCAGCGAATACTTGCTGGAAATGCAGCAATGGGTTGGAAAACAAATCAAAGCCCACAAACGCAATTAAGCTGATAGGAAAGGAAGTATTAACAGATGAGAGCAACAACTGCAATGCAATCAATGCTTGGCTCAAGGTATATGGAACCCCAGGCTACACTGACTGAGGTGCCACTTTCCACCGACGCAAAGGTTTGCATTTTAAGAATGATTCAGCAGGAAGGGAGTCTAGGTTTGGGCACCTAAGACTAGTGCCCACTCTGCCTTAGCTTAAAGCGCCAATTCTTTAGTTGCTGCATTAACTGCCAAACAAACATCTTATTCAAGGAATGGGATGTTACAATTTATGGCTTGGCTCTGAGATACCTTATGGTCCATCTTTTCCAAAGGAATCTGCCTAGCCTCAGCAAGCAAGAAGGGATGTTGTACTTATAGTCCTGCCTGTTAAAGAGACCAAAGGCATAAGGCTCCAAAGGCAGAATTGCTTTTTTTAAAGTGGGTCCTGTTATGGAACACTTTGCCCTAAAGAGGTCTGCTAGGCCCTGTCTTTATTTGCTTTTCACAGAGGCATGAAAACAGTTCTGTGGCACCAGGCATCTGGCAATGGACATTTAGTATTTTATTATGACTGTATGGCACTGGACTGTTATTTTTTATTGCACTAGCATTTAATATACATGTAGATATACATTCTCTCACACATCTTTATATTTAAAGCTATTACACATGCAAACATAGGCTTTTAATTCTATTGTAAACTGCTCTGAGTTTAGGGAGCTGGGCAGGTCATACATTCATATAAACTAACTAATCTCCATCCAGGAGCTGGATCACCTGTTGAGTAAAGAAAGAAAACCAAACAGAAAAGACAAAGGCTTTTCAATCAATACAAATTCCCACCACAAATAATACAGATAAATATAATTCATAGGATTAGGGAGAAAAAGACTTCAGTATCCTTTTTATATATGTGAAAATTTCACTCCTATCTACATATTGTGATATTGTGATCTTTTATTATAATATAAATATTTAAGAAATTACTCAGCAATAGAGATAAAGCTTGGAGCCTCCTAAATTTGTAGGCATTTCCCAAATAACCAGTCTGAAGCGATTTTTACAGGTTGTTCTAGAGCTTTTTTCTTCCAATAATTCAGAATTATGTATTTCTGTGTTGAGTCACAGAGTGCTATTCTGGATGAGCAACAGTGCTTAGTTCTAGAGGAGGAAACCCATTTATTGGCTTTACGTGGGCAGTGGACTTGCATACAGAACTAAAGCAGCACAACTGCAGGGGAAAACCATAGGTTTGCTGTAAAAGATTGACAGGCAAACACACAGTAGTAAATGCATTTTAAAGACTAATGAAGAGTATAACAAGCTGTAATGCATAAATAATCCTACTGATAAAAAGATTTAGTTCACCTGCTACACAGAACAGCAGAAATATCCTTTGTATTAAAAAAATAATAATATAAATTAAAATTAGACATAAAGAGATACACAGACTTTCCTGATTTCAGGATATAATCCTTCAGAGCTGTGTGCTTATAAGCTTCATTATAATGGTATTTTGGAGGCTGCCTGGGCTAGCAGATAGCAATTAGGTAAAAAACACCTGAGAGGGCAAAAGACGCATGTATTTGCAAGAGAAAATGAATAACGGTACTCTACAAGGTAAGGCAAATAACATAAAGTAATGCTTAAGCACAATACGAACCCCTAATTTTCCTTGAGTCCATGAAATGGGACATACAGTAATTTCCCTGGTTTTAGTATCCCTTAAAAATTAAAGTAAGCCTATGTTGCTGTATCATATTACAACGATCATTTTCTCTTGCAAATATATCCTTGGGAGAGTCAGAATGATTTCATCTAAAACAGCGGTTCTCAACCTTTGTGTGACGGCGACCCCCGTCACACGGATGCGCTGCCCCCATGCGCGGTGCGTATGCGCTGCGCCGCCCCGAGGGGGAAAAATGGCAGATCGCGTTGTTTGGCGACCCCCGTAAAATGGTCGTTCGACCCCAAATGGGGTCGCGACCCATAGGTTGAGAACCGCTGATCTAAAAGCTTAATGGTAGTTTTCCCCAGATCTAAAAATCTGGAATAGTGTTTCATCACTCTGATGGTGATGGAAAAACAAATTAAAATCCACACAGGCAATATTAGGCCAAATGAAGGTTTACAAAATCATCCCAAGTTTTTGAGTTTCAAGAACACTTCAAGGCAACCTGGATAAAAAAATATATATTTGCTATTCTTCCTTTGACCTATATTCTAAAGTAGATACTGTCATATTCTTAGAGAGAGAGAAAATAAAACGATTGCTTAACATTTGTTGTTATTAATATTATTATATTTTTAGCTTTAGCATTAGATCCTCTGCCATGGTGGTCCCAAGTCTGGATGAGAAAGGAGGTGGTTTGGGCATCAGGCTAGCAACCCATCTTTGTAAAAATTATAACCACTACAGAAACAGCAAGAATCTCAAGAAAATTTCTGTAATTATATACTATAAAGAATTTAAACACTGTACACAAAAACAATGAAATATAATACACCCATTCCTTGTTTAGTGACTATCTCGGTTAGCAACCGTTTGCAAATACAACCGTAATAAAAAACTCACTTTCTGACCAATACATACATTTACAACTAAGTTTTGTATGCTTGCCCGCAACACATTTCAGAGTGAAAGCAATATTGAAGCAACTGTATGGAGAACACCAACTGAATGTGATGGTAATAACCAATAATCTTCCCAGCATCTCTCTCTCTCTCTCTGTCATGTTTTCACTTAGCAACCATTTTGCTTAACAACCTGGTTGTTGGAATGCAACTGAGTAACTAAACAAGGAATGTGTCTACAGCACGGGTGTCAAACTTGATCGCATCACGTAACATACCGCAATGTTTTTTGCCTTTGCGGAGCTGGTGTGGGCGTGGTTAGTGCGTGACACATTTGGCCTGCAGGCCGCCAGTTTGACACCTTGGTTTACAGTGTCTATTGTCAGTATCACAAAGCTTTGGGAGATGATAGATATTCCTTCAGTGGTTCCATCTTGATTTAAAAGCCAAATGGCAACTCTGTCAGGGAAGCTGTAGTCACAGAAATTGCACTGGGCAGGGGATTTGATCAGATGATTTTCAAGATTCCTTTCAATCCCTTCATTTTAAGATTCTATGAATCTACTTGATAACAAAGTAAAAATTGGAGAGGCATTTTCTCTTTGGTAACCAGAGGGGACCAATCTTGGCTTTTCTTGCTATTATGTTCCTCCTTAAAAGCAGAGATACAGTTTTCCAGTGGTACCTGGAATAAGGCTTTTATTCAAGCTCTCTGCTCTTTCTGTGACTAATGGCTGAAAGACAGTAATCACAGAAATACAGATGTTGGCAGCCCAGAAAGATAATCTAGTTTAATTTTCAATCCCCTGGTATGTATACATCTATATTAAGAGGTCCAGAATGTGATTATCAATCAAATTTAACAACTGCTCCCTTCATCAGTTGCCTATAAAAGCAACACAGTAGTGCTTGAATTAATTGTAATACCATTCTGCTTCTTTTTCAGACAGGCATTACAAAGTCTGCCTTGGAATGTTCATTTCCTTTTTTTCATGTCTTTTGAAATTATTGTTTTCTCCTATTCTAACAGCAGCAAATATTTTCTTTGCTCTTGTTTAGCTATTTCATTGCTTCATTCATTGACCATTCACAGTTACGACAGCGATTAAAAAATAACTTTACAACAATATTAGCATTTATGAACTTTGCAGAACTGTAAAGCAAAAGATGCTGAAGTAAAATCTAAGTGTTTGCTTAATAACCAAGTTAGTGTTCCAACTGTGGTTGCTAAATGAGGACTACATGTAACAGGATTGAAAATTGCATCAGGAAAAAAATATTTAATACGGTTAATATGTGAATTGTCATACTGGAGCACTTTTGTGTGTATGTGTTTTTTTTTAAAAAAAAGCTGCAATAATAATCAGACGTTTCATAGTTTTTAAGCAAATCAGCAAGCTTTTTAAAAGTTGAATTAGAAAAATAGATAAAAGAATTTAAACCTGCCACAATATTAAATACATCTTCTTTGCATATATAATAAATTAGACCAAGAAACCACAAAGAGATTGGGAATGTTTATGGCTCAAGAAATCTTTAAAAAATGGTCCCAGTTTACATCAAGAATGACTTCCATTGTGGAAGTCATTGTGGAAAATTAATTAAGAGATCAGTTAATTACTGAATAATCCTATGACTCCTAACATAAAATATGATTTTTATCTGAGAAAAAACCACCCCAGATTAAATGTTAATGATAATATCTACACCATTTTCGCATGCTTCTGACAATATGTGAAAAAAATCCAAAACTACTCTGGTCTTAATTTATTGCATGAGCAATTAGAACTTCCGACAAACTTTTCTTGAAGCTGCAGGGTGAAAATACAGATACAAATACAGATAATCCTCAACTTACAAATACAACTGAAACCAGAATTTCCATTGCTTAGCAAGGCATTGTTAAGTGAGTTGTACCCAATTTTACAAAGATTTTTGCCAAGATTGTTACCTGAATCACTGCAATTGTTAAGTGAATCCAACTTCCCAAATGAACTGGAAAGGTTGTAAATGGTAATCACATGATCCCAGGATGCTGCAACAGTCATAAATACATGCCAGTTGCCAAGTGCCCAAATTTTGGTTACATGGTCATCGGGATGCTGTGATGGTTGTAAGCGTGGAACCTGTTGTAAATCACTTTCTTCAGTGCTATTGTAATTTCAAATGGTCAGTAAATGAATGGTTGTAAATCAATGACTGCCCGTAGTAGCAGGTATGAAATGAACTAGATATATTTCCTGATAAGTTTTGGAAAGTTATCATGGATATCCATAAAAGAATCTCAAATTAACTATAAAAGCAAACAGATTTCCTGCCATGCTTGTGAAATAACAACAAAAACCCCAGTCCAAATTGAGATTGCTTGATGAAAAGCAAAAGATTAAGGTTTGTAAAACTAGCCAGATAAAGACAGGATTTGGAGCTCTTATATAAACTTATTCTCTAATTAGACATCAGAAACAGATGGCTTATTCAACACTGTGGGTTGCTGTCCTGCATTCAGAAAGATATTTTGGTTGTATCACATGTAATAATCTTGATGCATTCCCCCTTTGAGATGTTGCTTTTGTTTTTTAGTCTGCTTCTACACAATGTTTTTAGTTATTTTTTGTACACCACCCAGAGTCTCTTTGTGGGAGAAGGGCAGCCATATAAACTTGATAAATAGATAGGCACGTTAATAGGTAGATAGATGATAGACAGGTAAGGAGATAGATATTTTAGTTTGAACTACGAAGTGATATACAAGACATCATAGCTGCTGGGAGAAGAACTGATGAACTGCACCCACTCACTGAATTCAACTGAAATATCAGGTTACTATACAGGCAATCCTTAACTTACTGTATGATTGTAATTGAACTCTCAACTATAGTCGTGAGTTATCACATGACGGTATCTGATTTTATGACCTTGTTTTGCAGTTGTTACTAAATGAATGTTGCAATCATTTAGTGAACCCATTGGTCTCTATAGGGCATTTTTTTGCTAGAAACTGGAAATAAATGCCAGTTTCTGGCAAAAATGTTGTAAATCATGGACATGTGATTGCAGGATGCTGCAGATGACATAAATGTGGGTCAGGTTTTTGACCCATCCCAAATTCAGTCATGTTACAGTGGGGGATGTGGCTGGAACTTTGAATCGGGTCCTAAGTACCTTTTTCTGGGGTCCACCGTAACTTTGGACTTCCCTAAGTGAGTGGTCTAAGTCAAGGACTACCTGTATATTGGATTGGAAGAACGCCAATCCAACCTCAGTGTTTGCTTTTAGAAATATAAATATTAAATAAATAAATATAAAACACAACTCAGCACTGTATCTCTGGAAAGATTTAAACATAGCAAGTCTTATCTCCATTGAAATTTCAATGCCATGTTGAAATAATATTGAGAAATAAAGCCAGGACAACATTGTTATTTCATGGGCAAACCTGCAGCTCTTTTTCAAAAGGGCCAAGCTCAAGTCAGGTCTGACAAAGATTGTACTTTATTGTGGAAAAAACATTTTAATCCCGTTCTTTGCATGAAGAAAGCAGCTTGATAGTTACTTTTCCCCCAACCTCGTCCACAACACGCCAAACCATCACCAAAAAGCATGGCAGAGATGGCAGGTTGAAATCTGGCACTGTTAATATATGCACATTTAAGATCGATTTCCAAGTAAAGCTGCAATCTAATGTGCATTTCAATAATAATAATAACAACAACAACATACAGTAATCAATCAACTGGAAAATGCATTTTCAATCCTTAATCTCCTATGCACAACTCTATTTCAATTAATATTCCACGTAGTCCATTTCTCTCGGCTTTTATCTGTTCACCATGGTCTTCTTCTCTTCAATTACTTACTTCAGTTGCTGGCCCGTTTCCTTTGGCAAACGATTTGGGGTGGAATTCCAAAGGAATTCTTCTAGTATCATATCACGGCGAGAGAAAGGAAGCGTCCATTCTGGGAGATTAGCCACTAATCGGATTATGAGTTCTTAGCCAGGCTCCCTACCCTTGCTTATTCCTCTACTGGGCCTGACCCCTGTAGACATCTGAAGGAAATCCAATCACAGTTGTAAACAGCTCCGGGAGAGGAAAGGCGCTTTCCTAAGTCCGAACGCGAGGCTAAGCGCCTCCTCGTTGCTGTCGCAAGTCCAGCCTCTGAGCCGCGCCTTCCTCCTCCCTTCCTTTCACTTGCTCTTTGCTTAGCACTGTCGCCAAGGCCTGGCAGGCGAGGGGGGGGGGGGTTAGAGGAAGAAGCGGGCGGGGAGCCCAGCATTGCCGAGGGCGCAGCAGAATCAAAACAAGCAAGACACGCCTTTTCCCTGGCTTGCATTTCTTCCGCGGCGAGGCGTCTGTGGACGCGCGCCCGTGTGTGTGTATGTGTGCGTGCGTGCATGCGACAGGGCCGCGGTGCGTGAGCGAAGGACGAGTGTGCTGCTCCGCCTGACAATGGAGCTGCAATAGGCGGGGGTCGGCGGGGGTAGCAGCAGCGGCAGCAGCACTGCCATCAAGAGTCTCCGCCGTCACCGTCGCCTCCTCCTCAGCCTTCCCGCTGCGACCCGCTCCTCCTCCTCCTCCTCCTCCTCCCTTGGCGATGCCGAACCAGAAGAGTAACAAGGGCAAGAAGAACAAGCGCGCTAACAGCAGCGGGGACGAGCAGGAAAATGGAGCCCTGGCCGCGACGGGAGTTGCGGGCGCCGGAGGAGTCCTGGCCGCCGTGGCTGCGGCCGGAGCGAGCGGGCCCGTGGCGGCTGCAGGAGGTGGAGGAGGCGGCTCCGGGGGAGCGGCGGCGACAGGCTCGGCTTCGGGCGACTCCAAAAACGGTAGGAAGCCGCGGGACAGGATGAAGGAGGGAGAGCGAGGAAGCAGGCGTGCAGCGCGCAGCCACGAAACTTCACTCGCTGGCTCTTTTTTTTTTTCTTCCCTGTTTTACCGGATGGGCAGAGCTGGAGGCGCCCTGCTAGTGGGGGAGCTGCCGGGCCTTCGATGGCGCAGCAGCCCTAGGATGGGAGAAGCGGAGCGGGCCAGCATGCTGATGAGCCGAAGGGAAGCGCGGTCCTTCGCTTTCTTAGCTTGAGTTCGACCGCCAGCGCGCGGCCTGCCACCGGGTCTCGTGAATGGAAGTTCGAACGCTGGCCGGGGCTGAAAAGAGCCAGCTTGCCGGCCCACGTGCCCCTTCCCGCTTCCCCCTCCCCTCCCACGAAGGGTTGTGCGGGGACATGGCGGCCCCAAAGACGGGCTGCATAAGCACGCGTCCCCTAAATGTTGCATTTGCAGTATAAAAAGAGCTTATGGTTTCTGTACCTTCTGGCGGATTTCCCCCTCTCCCTTTCCCCGCCCCCGCAATACGCTAATTTCTGGGGAACTGAAAACTGTTCTTACGTCCTCCTTACTGTTCATGTCCAAAAAGTGAACCGGTGAGGTTACACTGAGTGGATGCGTCTCACTCCTTCAAAGTGACAAGTGTTCAATCTTTTAAAAACCAACAGGACGAAAAAAAAAAGCTCATGCTGGCATAGTGTACATAAAAAGTGACCCCAAGTAAAAGGTGCAGAAAACGGCACGGAAGTTTCTCCTTTCTCTTCCCCCCCCCCCCCGCTAAAGTATGTACAGTATCTGTTACTTTCGCTTTAACCCGGCCCGCATATTTTGTTTGAAAATATGCTCTGATAAAGTTGGAGTCTCAGTAGTCAAAGTCAGCTGGGTAGGAAGTGTCATATGTTCAAGCCTGTCTTCACTGCTGTGAAGAGATGGGTCTTGTTCATGTGCATGGCTTGTAATGTTTCCCTCACTGACACCCCCCCCATCTTTCTGAAATTGCTGTTTTCTCCAAGTGCCTGCCTAGCCAGCCCCTCATGTCCCACACAATTATGAGCTTAGTGTCTGTTGGGAATGACCCCTCTCAGCTTTATTCAAATATCAGGAAGATAACGGTCTAGATGTTTCTATTTTTTTTAAAGACATAACAGATTGCTGATGAAAGACATCTATATTTGCAACCAGATAGTTTGCAGGGTAGCAGAGTTTAGCTGCAGCTGTGCCATCATCTCAACCTATCAACCTGCCTACAACCTAAAATAAAGTGAAACAAAAATATTGTCCTCCCTGCTCTTTACTGTTTCCACTGAAATAAGTTAGAGAAAGGGAGGGGGAACCCTTTAAATCATTTTATGAGCCTTTCAAATACTCTTTAGCTTCCCAGTGATATTTTTCTCTTTAAACTCAGCACCTATTTTGTGAACGCAGAATGTCAGTACCCAATATAAAAAAAAATGTATGTGTGAAACATTTCTCTACTTTTTTTGGTAGTTGCCAGGTTTTGTGTGTTATAAGAACACAAGAACAAGCTTTTTTTTTTGCTTTGTATTTGAAAAATGTCCCATATAATTCTTATTTTCATGCTAATCCTTGCTGAAATGTACAAAACACTGCAAATACTTGGGCAAATAATGTTCTCTAAGGAATTTGAAATAATATGTTTTGTTTCTGCATATGACGGTGAAATAGAGGAGATGCATCTGAAAACAAAATCTTTCTGTTCATAACAAAACAAAATTTAAATTCTGCAGTCTCCTAGGAATAGCTTCTGGCACAATGCCTACTAGTGACGAAATATAGCAATTTGATATTTTGTACTAAATTTAGGACACATGCTGATGTTCAGCACATTTGGATGAGGTCTAATAATGTATGGATAACTATTATTGTATCTTAGTAAGGATATATTCCCAGACATTGGGACCTTATTTGTTAACTGACAAAAATAGAAAGAGGGTGTAAAAATATTAAATCTCCATATAGTGTTAAATCTTTAAAAATCAGGGGCAATTCTTGTCTAATCCTCAAGCAGTTGCTGTCTGTAGTAATTGTGGTAAAACTCAGTTTGAAAGATGTTATTGTTAACAGCTTTTATATAACTGTAACTTTTCCTGTTTAACTTTATGACTAATTTTATAGAAAAAATATACTGAAATGGGGCCAACATGGCTTTGGAAGATACATGAAAGTCATCAAAGTACTTGTGTAATCCTTGCAGACTTGGTGGAATCCTAAGAATTACAGATTGCATTCTCGAAGAAGCTGCTACTTTTTCACAATAGACAAAATACATGTAAAAATATTGCCTTAAAATATTTGAAATGGAAATGTATTAAAAACAAATCAGAAGGAGATCAGATCCATTTGTTTTTCTAAATATTTTGATTCAAAGACTATGACTCAGAATGTCAAGGAAATTACTGTATTTTTTCTGGAACAGGCTTGAATTTTAAAAATTGGTTTGTGGTTTGTAAAAAGGCTTTTTAGTAAAAACCTTTTTAGTATTATGAATTGTATTTACAGAGGAGATGGGGAGGTATAGCCTGGCTGTAGATCTAGAACCTGATTAGTGGGAAGGTAATTGGTACCGAATCAAAGTGACTGTAAATTATATCTTGTTTAATTAATTGAGAGTTATAAGTAAGAATACTAGCAACTACAAGTTTGAAATAAGAGTTTCAGTACATAAACCTATTTAATTGATGAGACAAGTATGATAAATCAGTTACTATCTTGCTTAATGTTGCTGTCCCAAATATTGAACTTTTCATGAAATTATGATTTCTGTAAGAATATATTATATGATCAGTATTTCTTAAACCTAGGAATTTATTGGAAGATGTTTATTTTTTAAGAGTAATTTTTAATTTTCAAGAATAATTAATTTTCTGTATTTAGAAAATAGTTCTAAAAACTCATAACTTGCCCCTTGAGGTAGCTGGTGGAGAATGTAGTTATTCAGTAGCGTGATTTAATTTCTTTATTTGGAAATCATAATTTTGTATTTTATTAGCTCAGAGGTAATGTATACGTACAGCTACCTGCATATTGTATAATCCTATTACTTAGGTTGATTATAATCTCTTAATTTTCCTTACTCAAGTCATTTTCTCATAAACTCCCTTGCGTATGAAAAGTTTGTACATTGTCATCTAATAGAGTTTTGCATCCTTCTTCTTTTTGAACTGTATTACTTTTAAAGAGCTGAAAGAAAATAACATGTACAGCAATGTCCATTACAAAAACTTGTTCAAAATAATTTTTGAAGCATACACAGGCATGCCAACTAAATATTTGCATATGGTTCAAAAGTAGTTCAAGCCTTTGAAATGGCTGCATCAGCATGTTCAAATTAGTTCTTGGAGATATATTGAGTAAGGTGAGCATGTGAAGACTTGCTAATTCTTTCATCAGAATTCTTGCAAAACTGAAAATATCCAAATAAGTAAAGTTTGCTTGTCTTTTTGGTGAAATAACCCAGAACCACAAGATTTGACTATAAATTACATAAAAATATATTTTCAGTGTTCATTGTGTCATTTGTTTTTATTATGAAAATTGATACACATTTTTATCACAAATTTTAATACAAAGGCAATTTCCAAGTTATATGTGTTGACTTATTGTAACTCTGGCATTATGCAAATGGGTGAGACCATCATCTGTGCATGAGCAGAATAGCATGTAATCCCATGTGCAAAAATTGGTTTGTGTTACTGTTAAGACTGACTTAAGATTTATTGCTAATTTTATGATATTGAAATAAGAACAACCTATTTTCAGTTTAGCCACAAAGTTATTTGTGCAAAGTGGAGTGATTCAGCTTTGGAATGTTGTGCTTTTTCTTGGTACAGATTGACCTTGGCATTTCAGCAGTGACTTAACACATTTCCTGAAATATATCATAGAGAACAGGAAGTTGGTTGAATTACATTTTCAGCCTTTGGAAAATAGACTTGGAAAGCTTTTCTGAATATTATGTCCAACAGTGGAATGGTTTTCTAGGATAGAGATGCAGAGATTAGTAATATGACATACATTGTGCCCATGCATATACTTGCATGTAGACCTATGCACAAATAAGTTGACCAACAAATTTTTAACCAAAATGCCATGAAAAATGTGCCAGCTGAGGATAAGCTAAACTTGGAATTTTCGTAAGTTTTAATTTTCATAATTGGATAATCTGCGAGTGGCACATTTTTCATGGTATTTTAGTTAAAAATGAAAGAGTTTGGTTATCCGCAGACGGGCTTACAGTATATGTGACAATAAATGGGTTATACAGGCAATCCTTGACTGCAATTGAGCCCCACATTTCTGTGGATAATTGATACATTTGTTAAGTGGGTTTTGTCCCATTTCTTGTCATAGTTGTTAAATGAATCACTGCAGTTGCTAAGTTAGTAACATGTTTCTTAAGTGAATCTGACTTTCCCAATTGACTTTCTTGTCAGAAGATTACAAAAAGTGATCACATGACCCTGGGACACTACAACTGTCATAACTATGAATCAGTTGCCAAGTGTTTGAATTTTAATCACATGACCATGCGGATGCTACAGTGGTCATAAGTGTGAAAAATGGTCATGAGTCATTTTTTTTCAGTGCCATTGTAACTTCAAACGATCAGTAAATGGAACTGTTGTAACTCGAGGACTACCTGTATAGGTTCTTTAAAACAGCTGAGAGAAGAGCCTACCATATATATTTGTAGATAAGGCCATCCACAGATAAGCCAAGCTCAGTTTTTTGACACCTAAAATTCTTGGCTTATCCATAAATAGTTATTGGCTCGATTTGAAGTGTAGCATCAAGCCTACTTACCAAATGTGACTTAACACTAGAACACAGGCATTCTCTTGCTTATCTGTTTGGTGTTTGTGGAAAAAGTACATTTTTCCCCAGAAAAAAAAAGATACAGTAGATTAAATTAAGTGAGAATACATTGTATTTAGATGGCGCACAGAATTGCCTAGTAACTTGTGAGGATGAGAATGAATTT